GGGGTGAGAGGATTCACCAGAGACAGAGTGGGGAACCAAACAGGCAGACTGACTGAAATACACTGCTGAGGGGAACAGCAGGCAAGTCAGGAGAGGTCTGCTGCACCATGTGGGCAGCTCCCTGACGGGGATTGAACTAATGCTGCAGTGGCTGCGGATAGCTTTGTGGGTTGCGTGTTAACCCCTTGCCTCACCAGGGAGGCCCCAGGGCTCACTTTAACTGTCAGCCCTTCATAGGACCCTCCTTGATTAACCTCCCACACCCCACACCTCCACCAAATCACTATTCTCACACATTATCCTAAGTGTCAGTCAGGACTCTTGGTTACAAACATCAGAAATCATCTAACTGAATGTACATGACAGGATGCCATGTGGCCTCCCATCTTTGGGGAGTCCAGGTGATCAGGCATTGATACTGTTTTTCCAGAAATCACACCCTGTCCTGCACTGGAGCGGGTGCAGTAGAAGCTGATCTGTCACTTCTGGCACAGACATCACAGCTGCACCCCAACACCACTGACTCTGGACACTAGCTCTGTCCCACACGCTGCCACTGCCTCAGGCAACTTAGAGTGGCTGCTGTCATTACTGTTGCAAAGAGCACAGAGCCCGTAGTTCTCTTCATGCCATGAGCCTGTGTTTGAATGTCCAGGGAAGGGACATCTTTTTGGACATGTCCAGGTGATGTGCCACCTCTGCTGCAAAGGAGCTGGGGAGTGAGTGTCTGGCATCTTCACTTCAATAGTGGGAGATGCGTTCTGCCTCAATAGACAGAAAAATCCACAGATAAGAGAAGAAAGTCAGATTAGAGGCAGCAGATGAGAAATCTGTTCTTTTTTATTTTTTTATATTTTTTAATGATCTGAAGTCCTCTGTTTCCCCTGAGTTTTCAGCAGCCCCCTCACTATCAGGGAGGCTCTGAGAGCAAGACCTGGTGCTGGTTCACCCCTGTGTCAATAGTAACCTCAACAGTGTCCCGCTAAATGGCATTTGTTGAATGAAGGCAGGCTGACCCAAAGGGGCACAAATTTGTATCAAAAAGTAGAAGCTAGTTGCCAGTCAGATGCCACAAGATAGTACGAAGAGTAGGGCTGACCAGTGACACTGGTTTGATCATTTTAGGGACTTATTAGTGATTCAATCAATTTCAGAGGAGTGGGGGACCAGAAGCAACGCTGCAGTGGACTGAAGAAAATATGCTGGCAGCAGAAAAGCTGGAATGATTTTCTTCTGGTATAGACAAACAAATGGGGGAAATTGAATCATTGTTTATCAACTTTAATGATCAGTTTCTTTTCCTGGAATTAAACCAACTCCAGGAAAATGGGCTGCAAGCCATGCAGTGAAAGCTGCCAGAAAAGGAAAGAGCGTGAGTTGGGAAGGCAGTAGACATGAGCTTAAATCCATGTTCTAGGCAAAACCAGTGCCTGAGCAGCGCACACGGATCATTCTCCAGGATCGATCACATACTGGGGCACAAGACAAACATCAACAGATACACCAAGATTGAAATCATATCAACCATCTTTTCTGACCATGAAGGCATCAAACTAGAAATAAACCATAAAAAGAAGGCAAGGAACTTTCCTACCTCATGGAGATTGAAAACCACACTACTGGAAGACCACTGGACTAATGAGGAGATCAAAGAAGAAATTAAAAAATTTTTTGAATTGAACGACAAGGAGGACACCAATATCCTAAATGTATGGGATGCAGCAAAAGCAGTAATAAGAGGAAAATATATAGCAATAGAAGCTCACATCAAGAAACAAGAAAGAACTCAAAGAAACAACCTAATCTCGAAGCTCAAAGATCTAGAAAAAGAACAACAAAAAAACCCCAAAAACCAGTAGAAGAAAAGAAATAATAAAAACCAAAGCAGAAATAATGAAATTGAAACTAAAAAAACAATCCAAAAGATCAATGAAACCAAGAGCTGGTTCTTTGAAAAAATCAATAAAATAGACAAACCCTAGCCAGGCTCACAAAGGAAAAAAGGGAGAAAGCAAAATAAACAGGATCATCAATGAAAGAGGAGAAATCACAACGGACACAGCAGAAATCAAAAGAATAATCAGTAACTACTATGAACAGTTATATGGAAACAAGTTTAACAATCTAGAGGAGATGGACAAATTCCTACAACTCTACAATCACCCAAAGCTAGATAAAGAAGAAATAGAACACCTAAACAGACCAATTACAATTAGCGAAATCGAAATGGTAATCAAAAACTTCCCCAAAACAAAAGCCCAGGACCTGATGGATTTACAAATGAATTCTACCAAACATTCAGAGACGAATTAGTGCCTATCCTTCACAAACTCTTCCAAAAAATTGAGAAGGAAGGGACAATACCAAACACGTTCTATGAAGCCAACATTACACTAATACCAAAACCGAACAAGGACAACACAAAAAAGGAAAACTACAGGCCAATCTCCCTAATGAACACTGATGCAAAAATCCTCAATAAAATTTTAGCCATCAGAATCCAACAATGTATCCATAAGATAATTCACCACGACCAAGTAGGATTCATTCCAGGGGCACAAGGATGGTTTAACATCCGAAAATCAATCAACGTTATCCAACACATCAACAAAAAGAAATATAAAAACCATATGATAATATCAATAGATGCTGAGAAAGCTTTTGACAAAGTGCAACACCCATTCATGATAAAAGCCCTTGAAATTCTTGGGATACAAGGAACATACCTCACATCATAAAGGCCATCTATGACAAGCCAACAGCCAGTATCATTCTCAATGGTGAAAAGCTGAAAGCAATTCCATTAAGATCTGGAACAAGACAAGGATGTCCACTCTCACCACTGCTTTTCAATATAATACTGGAAGTCCTAGCCGGCAATAAGACAAGAGAAAGACATCCAAGGAATCCAAATAGGAAAAGAAGAAGTCAAACTATCACTATTTGCAGACGATATGATATTATACATAGAGAACCCCAAAAACTCCACAGAAAAGCTAATTCATCTCATCAATCAGTTCAGTAAAGTGGCAGGATACAAAATCAACACGCAAAAGTCAGTAGCCTTCCTATACACAAACAATAAATCTGAAGAAGAAGAAATCAAAAAAAACATCCTTTTGTTATTGAAACAAAAAAAAATCAAATATTTGGGAATAATCTAACAAAAGAGTAAAGGACCTATACAAAGAAAACTATAAAACACTGTTAAAAGAAATAGAAGAAGACACAAAAAGAAATGGAAGAGACATCCCCTGCTCGTGGATTTGAAGAAATAAACATTATTAAAATGGCCATCCTTCCAAAAGCAATATACAGATTCAGTGCTATTCCAATCAAAATTTCAATGTCATTCTTCAAAGAAATAGAACATTTATTGATGAAATTCATATGGAATCACAAAAAACCCCGAATAGCCAAAGCAAAGCTCTCCTGAAAAAAAAAGAAGGGAATGGAGGCATTCACTCCCAGACTTCAAACTATACTACAAAGCCATAATCATCAAAACTGCATGGTATTGGAACAAGACAGACATACAGACCAATGGAATCGAATAGAAAATCCAGAAATAAACCCACAGATTTATGGTCAACTAATCTTTGACAAAGGAGCAAAGACTATGCATTGGAGCAAAGAAAGTTTGTTCAATAAATGGTGCTGGGAAAACTGGGTCGCTACATGCAAAAGAATGAAGCTTGACCACTACCTCACACCATACACAAAAATCAACTCAAAATGGATTAAAGAACTAGACATAAGACCTGAAACCATAAAATATTATAGAAGGAAATATAGGCGAAACACTATGGGATTTGCCACATCAAAGACATCTTTACAGACACATCACCCAAAGCAGTGATAGTGAAGGCAAAGATAAACAGCTGGGACTACATCAAATAAAGAGCTTCTGCACAGCAAAAGAGACAATAACAAAAACAAAGAGAAACCCCACCAACTGGGAGAACATTTTGCACCCAACACTAATGATAAAGGACTGATCACAAAAATCTGCAAAGAGCTGATGAGACTCAGCAACAACAAAGAAAATAATCCAGTCAAAAAATGGGCAGAAGAGCTAAAAAGAAACTTCTCTGAAGAGGAAATGCAAATGGCCAACAGGCATATGAAAAAATGTTCAACATCACTTGCCATCAGGGAAATGCAAATCAAAACTACCATGAGATACCATCTTACACCAGTGAGAATGGCACATATTAAAAAAACTAGCAACAACAAATGCTGGCGAGGGTGTGGGGAAAAAAGGAACTCTTCTGCACTGTTGGTGGGAGTGCAAACTGGTCCAACCACTGTGGAGAGCTGTGTGGAGATTTCTGGACCTACTAAACATAGAGCTTCCATATGATCCAGCAATTCCACTCCTAGGTATTACCCAAAGGACACAGAAACATCAATTCCAAAGAACACCTGCACCCCTATGTTTATAGCAGCACTGTTTACAATAGCTAAACTTTGGAAACAACCCAAATGCCCAAAAATAGATGACTGGATCAAGAAGATGTGGTACATATATACCATGGAATATTACTCAGCATTCAAAAAGATAAACACATGCAATTTGCAGCAACATGGATGGCGCTGGAAGGGATCATGCTCAGCGAAATAAGCCAAAAAGAAAAAGAAAATACCGGATGGTCTCACTCATAGCAGGAATCTAGAAAACTTAAATAAGGGACCAGGAAAATGAATAACTATAAGAAAGTGAAAATCAAAATCAACAAAAAACTATGAACCAGAGACACTTTTTTGGGGGGCGGGGGCGGGGGGGGAGGGAGGGATTGGGTCAGGAATGGGGGGGCTGCAATTGTATGGGGAATATAACAATAAAATTTATTATTAAAAAAAAAAATAAAGGCGAAAAAAAAAAAAAAAAAAAAACACAAACCAGTGCCTGAGCAAGTCACCTCTGCAGCTTTGTTTCATAAGTTAATGTGATGTGAAAGCATGTACTCGATATGACATAATCTTCCTTTTTCCTCCAGTCTTAGCTATTCCTTTACCAGGTTCCCAGACGGCCAAAGACCCCAGCTTTCCCTGCACACTGGAAAGAGCTGTTGGGGAGTCTGTCCAGCTGCTACCCAGTTGCTCCTCGTGCCCTGAGACATCAAAGAGATTGAGTGGAACTGGGATCGTGGGGACAATGGAACACACATGCTGGTGTCCTGGAGGTCTTGATACCTCTACTGCTGATTGGTATGAAATTGAAGAAAAATACAAGAGCAGACTCTTCCTGACAGAGATGGGCTTCTTAAACATCACAAATCTCATAATGGAAATGAGTGGAGTATATACAGTGAGAACCAAATTACGTCAAGGACCATTGAAGGAGGAAGCCTTCAGACTCTGTGTATATGGTAAGGCGGGGGCCAGGCCCAAGCAGACATTCCACAACCAAATTAAATAAGTTAGCTTAAAATCAGGACAAAACCCCATTTCCCCAACCCTAAGCAAACTCTATTTTCTCCCCTTGGTCCTCTCTGCCCCAACCTGCCCTCCCTCCATCCCCTCTGCTTGGGTTGTCACAGAGGCCTCCCTGCCTCTGGATTTCTTCCTTCTTCCAATCAACCTCCACACAGCTGCTACTTTTGACCTTTTTAAAAAGGCAGAGCACTTCCTGTTATATCTCTGCTTAAACCCAAACAATGCTCCCCATCCAATTCTACAGGATAGATGGCACTCAGGAGAAGAAGTCCAGCCCCTCTTGGCTGCCTCTCCTCAATTCTAGGCATTTTCCACCAGGTGCCATGCTCAAAATTCGCTAGACCCCCTTCTCTCCTCCTTGACATACACTGTGACTCTCTGGAGATATCATCTACCACCCCTGCCCTGCACAATCATCACATCCTCACCCAGTACATATAGGGAGGCTGAGAACCCCCATACGGTAGTTGGGAAAGCTTTTTCTTAATATTTTATTTTATATAAATCTTACATTATTTTTCATTTTTGCACAATGAATGCATTTTCATTTTGGTTATATTCCCCGAACAATTGCACTCCCCCTTATTTTGACCCTAGTCTTCTTCTTCCTGCCCCCCAACCCTGGTAGTGTATCTCTGGTTTATAGTTGCTTATTGATTTTGATTTTTACTTTGTATTAATTAGTCTTTTCCTGGTCCCGTATATAGGTTTTCTAAATTCCTGCTATGAGTGAGACCATCCGGTATTTTTCTTTTTCTTTCTGACTTATTTCACTGAGCATGATCCCTTCTAGCTCCATCCATGTTGCTGCAAACTGCAGGTGTTTATCTTTTTTGATTGCTGAGTAATATTCCATTGAGTATATGTACACATCTTCTTGATCCAGTCATCTGCTTTTGGGCATTTGGGTTGTTTCCATAGCTTAGCTATTGTGAATAGTGCTGCTATAAACCTAGGGGTGCAGGTGCCCTTTTGAATTAATGTTTCTGTGTCATTTGGGTAAATACCAAGGAGTGGAATTGCTGGATCATATGGAAGCTCTGTCTTTAGTAGGTCAAGAAATCTCCACACAGCTCTCCATAGTGGTAGCTGGGAAAGCTTTAAGAAGAGAATGGTTGACTGGGTTGGCTGTCCAAGCTGGTTTCCAGCTGGTAAAGTGTCTCCTTTCCTCCTAGGCTGATAAATTCCTTGCATAGCTCCTGAGTAATATCATACTGACACAGTCTCATCCTATTACCTTTGACAGCAAGAAATGGAAATCTGCTCAAATGAGATCAATAAAGGAGGGTTCATTGTAAAGATATATAGGTCTCTAGGAGGAAGGTCAGTGAAGGGGCTCCTCTGGCCCTAGTGCTCACGGGAACTGGAAGTCTGATGGGCACTGTCCTCTGTCAGGGGTCATACCTTTCATGCCTGCTTCTCTCCCATTCTCCCCCTCTATTCTCTTGGCTTTCTCCACACAGTGGGGACTATGGCAGCTATGGGTCCAACCCAACCGGAGAGGAAAGGGTCTTTTCCTGGAACATCCCACATGGAAAATTTCAGGGAAGGACACTTAGTGACTAGGCTTGGGTCATATCTCCACTCCCAGGTGTGTCATAGGCAGGGAAATAGGATGCTTGATTAGCCACTTGTGCCCAGCCCTGAAACCAGGGTCAGGGTGCTGTGATTGACAATCACAATAATTAAAAACACAATGCTGGAGAAGAGGAGATACCAGAAAAAAATAGAAGTGCTACCAGCTGTTTTTCTTTCACCTTTCTTTCCATTCCCTGACAATCCATCAGCACCCAAATTAAATCTTTCACACTTGCTCTGTTCATGATAGACTCTCATAGGGAGAGACCCAACTCATCTCAACCCTACAAGTCCTCTACTCACTGATGCTTTCTTTTCTTGTTTAAACCTTAAATTTCTAATTTGAGTTCATTAACTGCATTTTCAGTTCACTTTTTTTCCTGCATTTTCTCCATTTTTTTAAATTCTTTGCCTTGGAAATTTTGAATTCTCTCCCTAACAAGAAGATAAGATCTTCTATATCATTGTGGTTGGGGGTCTGGACAGTTATCTCCTTCTGCGGTGACATACACCCTTGAAGTCTCAAGTTGCCCTCTGCTTTTTTGTCTGCTCATTTGCTGTATTAGATCTTCTCTCCTAAAGGTCTTTATTTTCTAGCTGTAGCAAATTAGAAGCATCAGGGGGAGCCCAAAGGAGCACTGACTCCCCACCTGGTCACCAGCAACCAGGAAGTCCTTGTTTGCAGGCCTGTCCCTGTGGTTAATTGTAGTTTCTGACTCTGTGGCCACAGGGTCACAGGTCTCATGGGGGGGGTGGGTAAGGTAGGTACTCAGTCTTTCTGAAGCATCTCATCTAGAAATTCCCTGCCAGAAAGGCTTTTTGAGCAGTATGCCCACGGGTGCTGCATTCTCCCCACTATGGAAAGAGATATGGCAGGAGTGGTGCCACTTCTAGACCAGCCTTTAGGTTGCCTCCCCAAAGTGACCCTGAAAATGCTGCTGGGCTGGCTAGTGGTTTCTGTCACTCCTCCTTGCTAAGAGACCGGTTCTCGAGTCCCAGTCTCCATTCCAGATGTGCGTGCTCCCCTGTACACTCATCCCCACTGTCCCCGAGGGATGTGATGACTCAGGAACTGCCTGCTCACCACCACCCCTGGGAGTCTCCCTCCCCTGCCTCTTTACTTTCACAACTGCCATGTCCTAAGGTCTTTTCTGACTCCTATCAACTGAGTATTTCCATGTCGAAGTTTCACATTCTTTTTCCTAATTATTTTATGGATTCTGTTTCTCTCTGCCTTGCACTGGAGTTATTTGTGTGACTGATTTATTGACATGTAGTTGTACAAAGTGTTTCTTTATAATTTTATATACATTTTCTTACCTGTATTTGTGCTCTGATTTTCTGATTTTCTTTCTTTCATTTTTTTTTTAAAGATTTATTTATTTATACAAGAACCGGGGTACAGGCCAGATGCACGGGAGAGTGAGAGGATTCACCACAGAGAGAGTGGGGAACAGAACAGGCAGACTGATGAAATACAGTGAGGGGAGCAGCAGGCGTGACAGGAGAGGTCTGCTACGCCATGTGGGCCCCTCACGGCTGGCCGGGATCGAACCAACCGGCACTTTAGAGGCTACAGACAGCTTCACAGCGCTGCGCTCAACCGCCTGCGCCACCAGGGGAGGCCCCTCTGATTTTCTTTCTAATGGCATTTACTTAGAGCTTTATCTTTTCAGTTAGATATCAATTTATTTTCTTTTGCTTGTTTTTAAAAATCAACTGTTGAGGGCCTCCCCTGGTGGCTCAGCAATTGAGCTCTTAACTGCGAAGCTGCCCGCAGCCTCTGCAGTGCCGGTTCGATCACTGGCAACCGGCGAGGGTCCCACATCGTGCACAGACCTCTCCTGCCGCCCGCTGCTTCCCTCAGCAGTGTACTTCGGTCCTTCTGCCTGCTCTGCTCCCCGCTCTGGCTCTGGTGAATTCTCTCACCCTCCCGCGCCTCTGACTGTACCCAGTGCTTGTATAAATAAATACATAGATAGATAGATAGATAGATAGATAGATAGATAGATAGATAGATAGATAGATAGATAGATAGATAGATAGATAGATAGATAAAATCTTAAACAAAAAAATCAGCTGTTGAATTTTCCTGACCAAATCTTGGTATCATCTATGCACATGTCATATATGCTTCAGAACAATTAGCATATAACTTGATTTTCACAGTATTAGTGAGTGGTGGGTTCTTTTTCTCAGGTTACAAGAAGTCGAGAGAGAGCATTGTTGGCATCTGTCCTCTGCTCAACCCTGTCCCTGGGGGTCTGGCTTGCTCTGTGTTTCTGCTCTCCCATCCCTGGCACCCAGGCTGTGTCTTCACGCCTGCTGCCTCATATGCCAAGGTGTCTGCTGCTCCAACATCACTGCACAATAGAGATGACAAAAGGGAAGAACAAGGGGAAAGTACTTCTTGTTTTGAGAATTCGTCTTTTCAGGAGTGAAGACCTTTCCTCCCACGTGGCAGATTTCCTCCTACTTCATTGCTAAGAACCAACATAACTACAAGAGAGACTGGAAATAAGAATTTAACCCCAGCCTATCTCAGAGGAAGGCCGAGACAGAGAGGGCCTGGGAATAAGTATGGAGTGAGCTTCCCGTCAGACTAGCCATGTTGCCATTATTATCTGTTTCCCCCCAATTTTTATATGCTCCCCTCTAATCTATCTCAGTGTGTTATTCATAGTAAGATAATTCATGACAGAAATAGTGGATATGATGGTTTATTGTCCAACTTTCAGTAGTGTTTTGGTTTTGATTTGATTTACTTTATATAACATTTATATATTTCCCAACCATGCTGTCAACTAATATTAATCTAAAATGTCTTTATTTGGCTTTCTTACTATTATTTATTTAAAATTTTATTGGTTCATAGTTATTATTCCCTTACCTGCAATAATTTTATTAACATTTTTCTTATCTATAATTTACCATCTCTTTTTACTCTTTCTGTGTCATTAGCTAATATAAATGGCATACAGTTGGATTTACTTAATGTGTATTGGTTATTTAATGTGGTGATATGATGCATTAAAAAATACTCAGTTTTTTGCATGCAGGAACCTGCTTCTGACTTCTTACTTAATATTTTTTATTCATCATCATTTATTGCTTTCTGTTTAATTAATGCCACTTTCTTTGATCCAAAATTCTCTACTAATTTGGATATTACACCACTTTGTGTTTTTATCCTATTTGTTGTTAAACTGAAATTTTCTTTAAAATTTAAAGACAATGTTTTTTCTTAATCTGAGCAAAAACAGGAATTAGAAAGATTTCCACTGTATTTTTAGTCCCTTCCATATTGTCTTTAGCACCAAATAATAATTATTTGATTATCACATATATAAGTATATCATATACATCAGTTATTTAATTATCTAGACTTACTGAGCAAGCAGGGGCCTTAGCCCTCTGCCTCTGGGCTGGGAATTGGAACCCCAGGTGAGGGGAGTAGGTTCCTTCCCAACAACCTCACACAACCTCACAGGGCTGGGTCACGTAGGTGAGAGCAGGTGACATTTGTGTGGGCATCCAATTCTGAAGCTCAGTTTCTCTTTTGCTCCTCCTTATCCCAGAGCCTATCCCCCACCCCCAGATTCGGATTCATTCATCATCCCACACATCAAGCTGGTGCAAGGTCAGCCTGGAGTGTGGGGTGCCTGGGGCCACACGGAACCTGACAGTGGCCTGGGAGAGCCAGGACTTGTCCAGGGAGCTGGAGCAGAGTGGGGCACTGGGAGTGGCACCCAACCCTGGAATCTAAGCCTGTCCCTGCCCCTGAGCCAGAGCAGCACCAGCCTCACCTGTGTGGTCAGCAACCTGATGGACAGGAAGAATGTGACCTTGTACCTGGACAGCCTCTGCCTACCCGGGGTGAGTGAGCTGCTAGGAAGAGTGATGAGAATGGGTTCTTTAATAATGGTGTGGGGAGAGACAAGACCGGAGGGCTCAGGGGAAATGGTGGGTCTGAGGAACATTTTAACGCTGTTGTTATGGTGCAGCCAAAAGCCCCCACCCAGTGGGCGACCAGCCCTCTTTCATGTTTCCACACCAGCAAGGCCAGAAATTGGACCAGTATGTGGAGACTGTGGCATCACCAGGACAGTAAAGTGAGGCTGGCATGTGGGTAACCCCTTTCCCATCATCTAGGAGCCTGAGAGGATGAATGAATCACCAGAAATGAGCAGGAGAGGTTTGGGGGGTAAGGACTAGCCCTTCGCCCTGGAATCCTGTGTCCTCCAGACCCATATCCCCTCCCTGTGTGGGTTGGGTGTTCAGATTGATGGTTGCCCATCTTCTGCTGTGGGCCAGTCATGTCATTCTGAGGACACTCACCACTGCTGAGAGCATAGCCACAGCTAAGCTCTCCTCCAAGCAGCAAGAGTCCCTGCAGTCACCATGGCCATTGCCATGCTTCCCCGCCACCTACACTGTCACCTCTGCTACATAAAGGGCTGTACAGAGTTAGGAGGGGGAGCCTCAGGTCCTGGTTTCATACAAATCCAAGTCCCCTACTTTCCTAGGGCGACAGGGCAGGACCAAGTGACTAAAGGGAGGGTGATGGTCAGTTCTGCTGCCCTTCCCACTGCCCAGCCCTGAGCCCGGCTGCTCACTGGAGCTCTCAGTGGAGCAATCTCTTCCTCATTTCCTCACTCAGCCACTCAGAACTCAACCCTCACACTTGGAATGAGCACCTACTAGTACAGCGTGGGGGTGTGAAGGGGTCCATGAAAAACGAAGCAAGCCCTGCCCTCAAGGACTATGGTGCATTATGTGTGTGTGTGTGTGTGTGTGTGTGTGTGTGTAGTGTCACCACACCCTGGCTGAGGACCCTGGACACTTAACTTTTGGAGCCTTTGAATGAGACGGATAAGAATTTTATCTGTCTCCTAGAACTGTGGTGAGGACTGAAAGAAGCAATCTACATGAAATTGTTAATCCAGTGTATGTTGCAGATTGTGTCAATAATTATTAGAAAATCTTCAAAGAAGAGGAGTAATTTCTGGATATAAATAAAGTAATTGGTTAAGTGCTATGGCTGAAGCATATACAAAGTATATGGTTCAAAAAAAACACACTGGCAAAAAACAACAAAACTAATCTTTAGACCTTGAAAAACACAGTGGCTACTAGAGGGGATGGGATGGTAGCAGGAGCGGGAGGGGAGGGGAGGTGCTAGAACGTCGTCAGCACAGGTGCTTTGCTGGAGGGTGAGTGAAGCTTGTGCACATTTGAAGGGTGAAGACCCCAAATTATGTAGTGATGTAAATGATTGGAAAACCAATAAAATTTGGGGAAAAAAACACCAAAGTATGGTTCATACAAAAAGGAAAAGAGGAAATAGTAGCTGCTGCAGGAGTTGGGGAAGGTGTCAGAGAAGGGGATACCTGAGTTGTGCCTTGAGGATGAAAGGGCGTTTTCTTGTGGCAGCATGAGACAGGCATCCCAACCTGAGAAAGGAACAAGCCCTAAAGTCTCATGATTCTTCCACCTCTTCTCCTTCCAGGAATATATCTCTTCAGGGAATCTGAGAGGAGAATGAGAGGCAGGCTGAGAGGATGAGCAGTAGCATGTCCAGCTAGTGGGGGCCTCTGAACTTGCTGTGGGGAGTCGGGACAGAGCCACACAAAAGAAACATTAATGTGGCATGGCCAGGGGGCAGGGAGACTGGGAAGGAGAAGACCTGTCGGGGCATCAGCAGGATGCTTGGGGCACAGAACCCACCTGCTCCTTCTGCCTGCCCCCCAGCCTGACAGGTAGATCTGACACTAGTCCTTGATCCCAAGGCTCTGTTCAGAGAAAATGGATCTGGAGCAGCATCCTTCCCATGGTTCTGATGGTGATGCTGGTCCTGGGGGCTGGAGTGTGGGTCTGGGTGAAGAGGAAGAGGAAGACTGGGAAAGGTAGGTTCTGGGACCTCAGGGGCACCCTGGGTAGGGAAGCCTGGGCCAGGGGAGCAGATGGAGGAAACCTGAGTGGGGGAGGGCTGGAGGGGACATGGGCTCCCTGTGCATCACCTACAGAAGGCAGGATAGAGCAGGGGTCCATGGGAGCTATGTGCATGCCTAGAATGGAGAGGGGCTGATGGCAGGAGCTGGGGCCTGAGTGTGCAGCCAGTGTAGAGGTGGCTGCCTTGTCCTGGGATGGCACAGATCCCCTCAGTTGCGCACACCCTCATGGAGTGTCTGCTGTGTGCAGGGGCATCCTGGGCAGCTGCTCCTCAAGCCCTTCCCCCAGGGGAACCTGCTGAGCTGCAGGAGTATGATGTCTACAGCAACACAGAGGCCGAGTACTCGAAGGCCAGCCCCCTGAGACAGCCCCAGGTAGGTCTAAGGGAGTCAAGTCAGATCAGCTGATGTGTGCTCAGAGGCCCTGCCTTTTCCGTATGACCTAAAGGAAGCAGAAGCAGGGGCCACTGGCAGGCCCTGGAGGTGGGGCAGACGGGCAGAACTAGGAGCATCTGGCAAGCCCCATCTTCTCCCCCACCATGCAGGTACCCATCCTCTACCTGCCTGCGATCCCACCATCTATGACACCTGTGTGGGTGAAGGTTTTGTTGCTCCTCTGAAAGATACACCCTCCCCGCCCCGCCCCGAGAATCTCATTGGCCCTTAGTTGGAAATCAGAACTGTGATCCCAGATGGCAAGATCCATCAAGATCTCAGAGGGGGAGGCCTGGAGGCAGGACCAACTGGAGGAGGAGAGAACATTAGGGGCTCCCCGAAACAATGATCCTTAGCTGAGCTTCCATGAGAAACACCTGAGGGGCTTGGTGAAGCACAGGTGCTGGGCCACTCACAGAGCTTCTGACTCCGTGGTCTAGGGCAGCCCTGAGAAAGTGCATTTCTAACACGTGATGCTGATGCTCCTGGTCCCCCTTTGAGGACTGCTGGGCTAGGGAGTGAGCGGGAGAGCAGGCAGAGCCCAGGTCTGGACTCCTGGGAGTAGCCCAGTCATGGCCATGCCTTCCTGTCCCATCCACTGACCTCTAAAAAGAGGGGGCAGCTCTGGATCATGGCCCCATAGAGCAGCAGGACCTGAGAAACCCCCTGGTCTGGTCCCAGCAGTTAATGGTGGGGGAATTCGGGATCCACGAGGAAGATTGGGACTTGGCAGAGAACTGGGGTGAGCACACAACAGAACGGGGATCACCTTGCTCCCAGCCCAGCCTGCTGTGCAGTCCCCAGCAGTTTCAGCATCTCCACCCTGTGGACTTCTCCCCTCAGCCCCTCTGAGCTATGCTCCATCTGACCTGGGCCTCAGGGGACTCGGAAATAGCTCCTTGGGACCCAAACCCCAAGACCCCGTACGAGAGAACCCCAGAGGGAGCAATGTGTGGCTTTGGGATGGAGAAAAAAGTCAGGGACATCTGGCCAGACACTCAGCCTGTCCTGAAGCCCCTGAAACCTCAGTCCCTGCCCTTGGGGGAGCGGCCAGTTTGGTATGGAGACTGAGTGCCCTCCCAGGACACGGGGAGACCAGCTCAGGGGAGAGACCGGGGATATGCAGGACAGAGTCCGGAGAATTGGGCATGAAATCCAGCTCTGACACTGACTTCTTGTCAATTTATAATATTACTTTACTCCCTGGCTTCGCCTTTTTCCTTTATAAAGTGAAGATTACAGCTATACTGTATTGCAATTATCTGATGCTTTGCTGTTTTTGAAAGCACTTTGTACAGAAAACATTCAAACAGTTTACAAATTTCTCCCACAAGCAAATTTTGTAAAAAATATTTACTGTCTGCTGTGTTTCCAGATTGTTCTGATCTGGCTACAACAGTCAACAAACAGCAAACTCCTTGGCCTTTTAGATTCTAAGTGGCAGAAGGGAAGAACAAAACAAATAAACAAAGCATGAATGTTAGATGATGATAAGTGCAGGAGAAAATACAGCAGTTGGGGGGTCATGTGTGATTCTCACTGAGGCTGTCAGGGAGAGCTTCACCAAGGAGCCTGAAAGGGGAGAAGCAGTGAGCCCCATGGATGTGGGAGGGTGAGGGAAGCAGCCTGGGGAGAGGACAGAGGCCTGTACTGAAGCTGTATTCTGGGTACTTATCAGAGTTGCGGCCAGGACTGCCTGCAGGAGTTGCACAGGAAGAGGGTAGCTTGACTGAGCAGGCACCTAATGCTAAGGAGTTGGTGAACCCACTCCTGACTCTGCTTCAATTGTAGAAAGACCCGCAGAAGGACACCCACAGTGCACGGAGCCCCAGAGATTCTACAGCAGTTTGCACTATCTACGAGAAGATCCGGGCAAACCCAGAACCCCAGGGAAGTTCCTAGACCGTGAAGATATGGGGGTCAGTGAAGGGTCTTGGCAAATTCAGTCCTGCAGCATCCTGTAGCCCAGGGCCTCCAGAGAACTCTCCTTAAGATGCAACAGGGGCTGGACCCCAAGTCTTTCTGACTCATCCCTTTGAGCCAGCAGGTACCCTGGGCCCCCACGACCATTTTCCCACTGTACAGGCTGTGAGCAGTGACTCTGTGTAGGGTAAGTAAAAAGTATCAGGCTTTTCTGCCCTTCTGCTATTAGATTAAATGCATGCCTGATGATGGAGTAGGGTGTAGGCATGCATAGGTGAATACACCTGGGCTTATAAGGGCGGCATCATGGGGACAGCAGGAGAGTGAAAGAGAAGACCAGCAGAGCAGAGAGGTCATGAGAGAATGCCAGAGAGCCCAGAAAGACTGAATACTTGCAGGGGGCTGGGAGGCTAGCCAGCCTCCTGGCCTCCAGGCACCCCTGCCTGCCATGTACCTGGTAAACTCAATAAAAGCCTGAAAAAGTCACCAAGAGCTCTAGGACTCCTCCTTCACCTGTCTGCTTGGGTCATAGAGAACCTGCTCTGTGGCCATCCTGCCACTACAATTGGTGTAGTTGGCAGGATAATTCAATGCAGATGGGTATGAAGCTCTCCGAAGACCTCAGGAGGGACTGAGGAGTAGTAGACTGTGAGCCAGTGACAATGCTGGAGGTTGCTATGGCAGCACAGGAGGTGGCCAAAGTCCAGGAACTTCAGGAAGAGCTAAAGACGCTGCAGGAGCACAGGAGGTAGACAAGGGTCCAGGAGCTGCCGGACAAGACCTCAAGTGGAGGATGAGATGGCCCATGAGGACCAGCCCATGACCCCTGAGGCAGCAGAATTGTTGGGGAAGAAAGGACCACGATTCAGAGCTCGCCCAGTGCTGACACCAAGGAAAAAACTGATGAACCTGGACTAATACACTTGTACTGACAAACCTGCCAGAACTCGGAGGAACTTTGGCAGGTTGATGTTACATTTTGGGGACACTGGGGATGGATGGTATCGTTTGTAAACCCCAGGAGATGAAAATCAAGGCATGGCCCATGGGCCTTGGTGGCCAAAAACCGCCTGTGTGCTGCCTGGACAATCCTAGGGCCACATCCCAGAGAGGCAATGGCCAGAGTAGAGGAAGGGGCAGGCATGAGAAGAGCTCAAGAGGCTGAGGGAGGAAGCCCTCAATAAGTTTTCTGCAGCTAGGCAGAGGAGATGTATCAAAAAGCCAACTTAGAAAGGCAAAAGCTGGTGCTGAGATTAGGAAGCCCTGAGTGGCTGTCAAGCAACTTAAATATGTTGACCCATGTGCATGTGCAAAGGGTTGGCCTGAGTGCAGGGGTCTGCGTGTTGCATTGGTGGCTATGAAAGCTGAGTGTTGGACTGGCAGGCCGCAGACAGAAACCCTGAGGCTTGGGCGATTACTCCCAAAAAGTACAGAATCGCCAATCCAAGAGTGAGTGCATCCTGGGGGTGGATGCTGTGTGTGGCTTGTGTTCAAGACTACAGCTGGAGAAGCCAGGAAGACTGATGGCTCCTGGCGTGTGATGGCAGATGCCTGAGTGGTTCCCTTCTTGCATGAGCAGTGACTTTAGCAACAGAAGTGGTGGATTATCTGCTGGTGCCAATAATCTTGTCTTTTGCCACTAGGTTGGTGCCCTGCCTGGACTAATTTATGTTCTGCTGTATTTTGTTATATTGTTATGTTGTGATGTACACTGTTTACTTTTGTGGACCATGGCTGCAGTGTTTAGGGAAATTTGTATATAATTTGTGTATATAGACTGTATGGTGGAAAACCCTGAGGGGGTGGATTATAGGGTAAGGAAAAAGTAACAGGCTTTTCTGCCCTCCTGCCATTAGCATACCTGATGGCAGACACCTGGAGTAGACCTGGAGTAGGGTGTGGGCATGCATAGGTAGATACACCTGGCTAAGACTGGGCTTATAGGGCAGCGTCATGGGGATACCAGGAGAGCGAGAGAGAAGACCAGCAGAGCAATAGAGGTCATGAGAGAATGCTGGAGAGCCCAGAAAGAGTGAAGAGTCACCAGGTACTAGGAGGCCTGCCAGCCTCCCTGCACCCCTGCCTGCCATGTACCTGCTAAACTCAATAAAAGCCTGGAAAAGCCACCGAAGGCTCCAGGACTCTGCTCCTTCACCTGCCTGCTTGGGTCATAGAGATCCTGCTATGTGTCCATCCTGCCACTACACCCTGCAACCTTGAACATCCGAGTATGACAGGGGAACCCTTCAGCCAAGAATGAAATGTTAATTTATTGTTTCTCCTTTATCATCTGTGATGTCACAATGTTTTCACTTTTTTATTTATTAACAATACATTGTCATATGAAACTGAGTTATCCTTACATTATTGGAATAAATCCCAGTCAATGCATTATCCTTTTAATGTGCTACTCTTTGAAAATATTTTTATTTGGGATTATTGCATTGCTAGTCAAAAATGCAATTCTCCTGTATTTTTATGCTTTACTTTGACAATTTGGTGTTTGTGTTGTACATATGAAAGATTCCTTTTATCCTTTTTAAATGTTTCCTTGTAAAGAACTCCCATTTAGCAGTGTTGATTTGTTATTTTTATTATAATATTATTAAAGTTGTATGAACATGGAACTATATATGAATATGAACCTATATATGACTTTTATAAGTAAAACAAAAATAAATACATATAGAGATAAAAAACAAAGAAGCAATGGTTATTCAAACTGGTATTCAAACAATGTAACTTGATGGGTGTGTTTCTTTTGCTGAAACAAAATCATAATGTTGGGATTATTGGGAAAAAATGTATGTTCAGATCAGGTTCTGTAATTATTTTTATAATTGAATATACAGTGTTACTTTACATGTTTATGTTTGACATTATTCACGGCTTTATTATTTCAAAATAGTCAACCATATCTTAATGGAAACTATCAGATGACAATTGCTACATCTATAAAATTGCCTAATTCATCTGAAAAACATGCCACAGCTTTATTGAAATCTCCATGCAATACA